AACCCCCCCCCCCCCCCCCCCGCCCTAAAACAAAATAATTAGTGCAAGCATACTGACCCAAATCCTGACCTCTCCTTCAGCTCCTTTCAAGCTGGTTGTGAGAAAAACCATCACTCTGAATGGCTTGGAGCAGTGTGGCAAACGGCATGGTCAGTAAGAGCATTTCCAGAAGACCATGGCGGGTAGGGACAGGGTGAGAATTTCAGCCAGCCTGCATCTGAGCCGACAGCAAACAGTCGTACTGTACAGTCGACTCGCACCGAGGTGGTCACCTTGAATGCATATTCAGGCTTTCACATTGTATATCACAAAATGTTCAGTTCGGCCACTTGAAATATTTACATTATTCTCTACCGGGGTATGACATGCCTGTTGGGGGAAAGCACTAAGGATTCTGCTCTTTGCATCATTCCATTTTCAAATTGACTGCAAGTCAGAATCTGCAGCTGTCATCTTAAAAAAAAAAACAAAACACTGATCTCACAACTACTGTTTAGTAAACGCAAATGAATAACGACACCGTGACTCATCTATCAGCGACAATTATATGCTGTTGGAATTAAGTATTTTAAAACACGTACATGATGCCTTGAGCCTCACACCACTGGAAATTACACTCCAGCTGTCCTGATATATTTCCGGAGATATGGATGGACGATGCGTCGGCACAGTGCTGACCATCTGCAGGCCAGTAGTTCATTCACAGAGAAATGCAGACCTCCTCATCCCACGATAGCGCCCCCCAGAGGAAGAGGGTGGGCACAGGAGATCCCTGTTTAACGCCGCTAATATGCTGGACTGCAGTTAAGACGTTTTTTTTTTTTTTTTTTACTTTGGTAATTTCATCATATCCTTTAAATGCCATGAACAGAAAGAAATGGAATTTGTTGTTGCAGATCCTTCATTGTTTTCTTTGCACCATACATACACAAGAACATCCACAGAGAAATCTCCTCCCTCTCCATTCCGTTCCTCACCCACTGACCTTATCATGTCGCCACTGTATGTCATACCCATTCTGACCAGCAGGGGATCTCAGCTGTCAAGCACACAGGCTCTGCCATTTGCTTTGAGGTTACATACTGCTGTTTTGTTATTGATTACTCCGGACATACAGTAGTTACATGCATGCTTACTGCACTACTGGTTAAAATCTTAACTGATTAAGACGGAAGCCTACCGTACATCCGGTGATCGAAAGAGCGCAAGTCGGAAGCCATTCTTCTGGGGCTAACGTTAAGCACAAACTCATCCTCTGGGTCTCCCATCCTCCCTGCCAAACCAGTGGCTTACAGGCTCCTCAGTTGTGGCCAGGCTGTATCATATATGTGACATTGCGCCACCAAGGGGCGCTGTTGAGGGTAGGCTGTGAGCACCGGGCCTAAAGCAGGAATCAGCCGTGTTCTGCTCTTTGCTGGCTGATCTTGCAAAGGTCATGGGCAGAGGCGGAGGAAACAATGCCTTCCCTGCAGGGACGAGGGCACTACGACCGGTGTAGAGGCTGCCCGCCCATGGGGGCATCGGCCATAGCTAAGATGCTTCTAACACTGCATTGGCATACAGGCAGCTAACACTATCATCATGGGGAATGGGCTGAGCCACCTACAGGGGGAGCCACACCATGCTGGGAGACCCTTTGTGCCACTTGAGCCATATGCTTGTCAGGCCCTCCCCCCTCCTTTTTACTGAAGTCAGTGACTGTGAGCCCATGTACACGTCGTGGCTGGCAGGACCACAGGAAGTGAGCAGGCTCAGCTCAGTGCCCTGAAGGAGAGCTTTGGGGATTTCCCTTGTCCCAGTTACAGTACGGTGCTGGAGGGACAAGAGCAAAAAGAAACTATAAAAAGCTGCAGCAAAGGAGAGGACTAAGAGGAAAGAGGAGAGGACCAGGAGGAAAGAGGGACTGACCAACGACGGAAGAGGAAGGCACAGGAAGGGAAGAGGGATGGACAAGGAGAAAAAAGGGATGAACCAAAAAGGGAAGAGGGAGAGACAAAGGGGGGGCGGGGGGAGTGGGACGGACCGAGGAGGGAAAAAACAGAACGCCACAGAGGCAGAACATTTAAACAGTGAGGTTTGCGAACATCATTCGATGCAAACAATAGGTAAGCTGTCAAAGAGACACAGACAACGGCCTTCCATGAGTGGCACGAGAGCTGGGAGGGCTTGCATAGTACACAATTCCGTTGTGCTCACCAAACAGCTTATATGCGGCATCTTAATTAAACAGGTCTATTCTATATATCCAGGTAAGACTCCCTCACATAGCACCATGGTGGATCGGAACACTTCATACGGATTATGTTCTGCACGTGCTGTAGAGGGTAAATGTGTGAGGGCTTGTTCGGGGGGGGCGGGGGGGGACGCACCGCTGGGCTCCCTGAACACACAAGTGGGGGGTGCACCGTGTAGCAAGGAAACCAGGCCTCCAGCAATCGGTGGGGTTTGGGGAGGGGACAGACCACGCATAAGCCAAAGGGGCGGGCAAAGCGTGGGGCAGGAAGGCACGTGTCCGGCATGGCTGTGGAGCGAGGGGGGGCCTCGCCTCAGACGCGTGCAGCAGTGGCCTCAGGTGAGCAGACAGGCGGGCTTATTGCTTTGAGGGCATTGCCAGGGCAGCTTTGGCTGCTGGGCCCACGGTTGAGGGAGGGCAGGCCGGGGGGTTCGGCGCGGGGTGTGAAGACGGGACAGGAGCGAGTCCGCGCGTGGCTCTTCTGGCCCCCAGCATGGCAGATGAGCTCGCTGACCGTGCCCAGAGGGGCAGCGTTCTGCTGCCAGCGCTCCAGCCGGTCCTCCTTGCACTTGATGGAGTACCACGTGAGGAAGATGAAGATGAAGCCCACAAACTTAAGACTGGCGGCCAGACCAAAGTAAACAAAGCGGAAGGCGGTGACGTCATACTCCCAGCAAGAGCCGTGGATGCCACAATCCTGCTGCCACAACATGCAGGTGGTATCGATGACGGCGCCGAAGTAGATGGGCGTGGGAATGTATGCTGCAGAGGGCAGAGTCAGAGGTCACGCTTCAGAGATCAACTCTACCCTGCATTACAATATGTGGTCCAAACATCTTGAAGGCATAGAATTCTTTTGACAATGCTTCAGAAATGTTGTAGAAACATTTCTGCAGACCACTGGCACAGTGAAAAATATTTACACATTTCTGAGACTTTTTTACTTTTATTTTTAAAGGAGCCCTGCCTGTGACTATGGTTAGCAAGTAATTACAAACAGTCCAGCATGAAGGCTGCAAAAGAGAACAAGCTAACATGGCTCTTTTGAGATCTGCAATCACTGAAAGTCTGCTATTCCAACACCCTGCTTTTAACAGGGGCTTTTGCAGGGCACCTCCCAAATCAAACACCAGATGGTTCCATTTTATCATCTGCCCTTCTTTTAGATTGTTTGCTGAACTTACCAAGTGTTCGGAGAAGAACAAACTGCATTCCAAGCGCAAAAGGTCGTTCCTGTTCCTCTACGGACCTGGAGAGAGTCCGGGAAAGACAGTATGTGTTTATGATCCCTCTGCATGGGCTGTTCTGTGTGAGCTGTTCTTAAAAACATATTTAGCATCTCTTCTCACTTTGAACTTTAGTGCAGCTCTCCTACCTAAGGGTCACAATGATGGCAGAGGGCTGGGCACAGGCAGTGATGAGCGTGACGATGAAGAGGAAGATGAGGAAGGGGATGAGTGTGCTGCAGGTGCGGTCGCATTTGCCCAACACAGCATGGCCGTTCTCGTTCAGGTAGGTCTTGACGATGACGAGCTGGAGCTGGTTGCCCTGTCCCCCTCCAGGAGGAGTGATGACTTGCCGGCTCTGGACACAGGCACAGTCCGTGTAGTTCCTGATCTGGGGTTAGAAAGAGAGGCATGCGGTGAAACTGACATTCAGACAGGAACCTCACCTGTTGTTCAATGGAGAGCCACCTACCAGTCGCTCTCTGAAAATAACAACAAAAATAATAACAAATAAATGAGGTCATATACAACACACATTTTGGCCATTGCAGTGGTGGACTTTTCCTTTGCATTCCAGCTATGGCAGTAGGAAACTTTTCCGTAGTCCCCCAGCCTTAGCGGTAAGAGACTCTTCCCCCGCACTCCGGGCTTGACTGTAAGAGACTCTTCCCCTGCACTCCAGCCTTGACGGCAAGAGACTTTTCCCCCACACTCTAGCCTTGACAGTGACACTTTTGCCTTGAACTCTTGCTGTGGTGTTAGGAGACTTTGCCCCAAACTCTAGAAGTGGCGGTAGGAGACTTATCCCTCGCACTGCGGCTGCATTCAGCTATGGACTCCAGGCTTAATTCAGGAATGCGAAGGAATGCAAAGAGCAGGTTTGGATTGTCTGTCCCACCACATAAAATGTTTCTGCTGCTTTGTTCTGTATCCTAGCCTGATACAGAAAGGTGTCCCTGAAGAACACATCTTCCCTGTGTCAGCCTTTCCTCTCAGTGTTGCTACTTACCTTCCTACACGTCTGCCAATATTGTCTACTTCCTATATCACACTGGCCACATTGGCTACTTCCTATCTCAGATTGATGTGTGCTGAGCCCTGGGAAGCAGCTGTTTACCACGAACCTTCATTTATGCGTGCCATAGCAGTGTGGCCTTTGAAGCAGCAGAATACAGCTGGAGTCCCTAAACACAGTGGCACACGCTGGCAGTTAACCTCACCCCGGTGCTGTCGTTGCCCACACTGCCACAGCCCGCCAGACAGGGGTTGAAGTAGGTGATGCCGTCAGATCCACAGACGGGGGCATACTCGTGGATCCTGCAGCCACAATTCACATTGCAGCTGCCAGTCAGGTTCCGGTGGGTCAGGGTGAGTGTGGGCCTGTAGGGGACAGTCACAGTGAAGTGACAGTGAAGTACACACACAGCACTCCACCCCCCACCGGGGCAAGTCTCCCACTGGTTTTGGATCAAAGATTGTTTTATTTTGGGAAAAAAAACTGGTTGAATTGGTGTTAAATGACCCTAGAAGAGAATGGCTAAAAGAAAATGTGAATGTATAGATCTGATACCATGGAGGCAAGCAGAACCAGGAGTTGGAACCAGGAGGTTCTTTTGTAGGTGGACCTTACCCTATGGTGTAGTGGATGTTGATGTGGGAGGCAGGCCTCACCCTGTGGTGTAGGGGATGTTGATGCAGGAGGTGGGCCTTATCCTATGGTGTAGTGGATGTTGATGTGGGAGGCAGGCCTTACCCTGTGGTGTAGGGGATGTTGATGCAGGAGGTGGGCCTTTCCCTGTGGTGTAGGGGATGTTGATGCAGGAGGTGGGCCTTACCCTGTGGTGTATGGGATGTTGATGCCTCCAAGGTTGATGCTCTCACAGCCCACGATGAAAAGTGTGGAGAAGCAGAGCAGTGAGACCCCACTGCAAATCATGGCCAGCTTGGCAGACTCGCGGGCACCCAGCTTCAGCTTCTTGATGATGTAACCCCCCAGGACAATTCCCACCCCAGCGCTGGGCACAATGATCACACCTGAGAGAAGGAAGACGACGACAGGGTTACCATATGAGGAATCTGGGAGCCAAGAGAGAATCGCAGCACAGTGGACTTTAAGGAGAATCTGCATCACAGAATTCATTCAAGTAACCCATTAAACCGGCATTATTCCAGGAGCATGGAAAGTATCTGTTGATCAGAGGGACACAAAATCCCATGTCCATCATTACCTGCCAAATTTAACCTAAGAGTATTGACAGCATGCACTGTGGGTCTGCCTGACACTGCACAGGTGGCTTACAAACTGGGTTATCAGCCTGAAGGGTACAGTGATGGGCTCTGTGGAAACTGGGAACTGGGTGAGCCCCAGCAGAGAAGTGCAGGAACTGCCCCCTGGAGGGCCGGTGCTATAAATCGACCTCCCCACTGAGAGAGATCGTAATGAGAGACAGGTATTGACGCAAAAAGATGGCGGGCAGCTAGAACACCTCAAAAAAAAGGTAGGAGATGATGGGGGGGGGGCCTGGTAGCCTGAGCCCAGCCCACACAACACAGTAGGCTGGGACTGGCAAAAACCATACCAGTCTCAGGAAAGAGGCGTGTTTATGACAGGCATTAACCTGATCAGTCCCCAGGACACTGCTCACTGCTGGGACTCCCTGAGGACATGTCCAGTGGACATGTCCAGTGGACAAGCCCAGTGGACATGTCCAGTGGACAAGCCCAGTGGACATGTC